TATATATATATATATATAAGCTCTCAAAATGCTTTTGCATTTAATACAAAACCAATAAGATCTTGAAAAAAATGAAGCATTTCCCATACCTTACCCATAAATGGATGCAAAGTAAAGAGTCAAAATAAAAGGCTGGAAAGGGTGAACTGACGAAATGCAATAAATTTCCCACCTTCGCACCGACTATAACATGTCCAATAGTGGAGTCGGTACTAGAAAATTTTCCAAGGTGAGATTTTCCTAACTTACATTTAAGGTTGAAATTTTCTTTTTATTTAGTCCTAAAGTGGGAGTTTGTGCTCCTTCAACATCAGTTGAAAACAGCAATAAGAATTTACATGCATACCACTTAATTCCTTTGTATTTACATATCAACACCCATCAATTTTTACATATATTACATTCTATCTATATATGCATGAAAGTGAGCATTTCACTTTTTAAATGGTACAGTTATATAAAAAAAAAAAATTCAGGTGTTGGATTTGTAAATACATAAGAAAATGGGTCAGGTGTGTAAATGCATGGCTTTGGAAGAGAATCTAGGAGGACGATAACTTACAAAGGCTTAATTATTATAACAGAGTTATAGGTATTTTATATTTATTGATATAGGATTTATTTATTATAAAAGTTAGTAGTACATTCTATATTTATTTATAATTCCAGTTTCAGCTTATATTTGAATTTGTAACCTTGTCTAACATCCTCTAGCAAAGTCAAAGTTTGACCAATCCGATAAATTTCATGTAATTAAGAGGAATAAACGAGCCTAAATAGAATTTTAATGCTTAGCCATTCAAAATTAGCAGTAACTCAACCCACAATAATGGACTTTGAAATATTTAATTAAACTAATTAACTCTATAATAATCATGAACAGCTCTAATGACATATCAGACTAAAGTTTTTCAAAAATACTCAAGATACATAAAATTTATTTTGAATGTTTCTAAAAACAATGAAACATGATAGAAGCGTAGGGCATACTAAATATATTTTATTTCATGTTAAAAAAAATATAAAGAAAAAATAAAAGTCATCTCAAACAGCCACTGAGAAAATAATAATTATAAATAGAAAAAAAAAAAATTGCAATTGCTTTGTACTATAATCTTTTGAAAAGTTACCGTTTGAAAAATGGATGGTATTCTTTGTTGTTCTGTCTTTCTTTTTTGGTGGGATAGAAAAGCAATCACTTGTAAAGAATCCATCTGTAGATCTACCAGAAAAGCCAAAGGGAAGCAGCAGCACATGATCATTCCATGATAGAAATAATTCATTATTGACGCGAACTTTCATGACTATAGGGCATGGTACCATTAAAGCTGGAAAGAAAATAAAAAAAAATTGGTTAATTAGACAACTTTCTGTGATATTATTTATAGACCCATCACTGTAAATGATTCAGCACCTATTGAATAAAAACTCAAGGGGTGATTAGTGACATACTTTTAATAAGATTTAACCATTAATTTAACATAAATCAAACCCAGCCAAAAACCAAAAAAATAAAAATGAAATTTAAATCCTACGCTCCGTTAAATCGAATTGTCTATAGTTCTGTCTCGTTTTCGATGCAAATCCAGATTTAATAAATCCGATTTGAATGCAGATTTAGGGGATTTATTCCTTCGTGGCTCATGAGTGTTTCACAGTCAAACATGAATTTGATAAATTCAATTTTATCGG